AAAAACGTAAACTACAATCGAACCGAAACACAAACAAAAAATGAAGGGAACAACTACTCTACTCATCTTAGCCACCTTTTCTCACCTTTCCCTTGTAAGCTATTCCCGAGAGGGCGACCTGATAACGAGCATTTGCTCCGAAGGACCGCCCCTAAACAAGACCTCGTGCGAATGCACCATAAGCTTGGCCAACTGCGGAAACCATAACGACACCTCGAAAGCCGCCTTTACATGCATGGGCCGTTTCGCGAATAAAGCGGCCATAAACGCCACCACACACTTATGGGTTGTCGCCAAGAATCTCACCAATGCCAAGCTGGCCAAGTTTTGTGTGGGCCACGTCAATGATGCCATTGACCAGCTTAAGGGTTGCGCCAAGCTTTGGAAAACGAACAAGTCGTCTGACATTGATATCATCAACTCCAAGGGCTCGACTGCTGAGACGTATATCGACAACTGTATAGATGATTACAGTGACTTGGGCCAAAGCATACCAGAGGTTTTGCAGAATTCCACGGGCAAAGCAAAGGATCTCATCAACATCATGCTCGCCATCACCAACAAGATCTAACGTGTCTAATAATAATAATAATAATAATAATAATAATAATAATAACTCACTACTAATATATAAACCTATTATGATCTTTGCTTCTCTATTAATACTTACACAATTGTTGTATCATGAATCATTATTATTGCTAAACGGGATAAATTGGAATAATATTTGGTTTTCTCACTGTACTTTCTTCTTGTTTTGTGTGTGACTAAATAACAAATAATATAATAACGAGCTACATATGGTCAAACATGCTCTACATGAATAATCATTTTTAACGACGATAATTTTTGTCGTTATGTCGTCAGAAAAAATACCGTCGCTAATAATGTCATAATATTGTCGCCATATGTTCGAATGTCGTCACAATAATACCTCTTATTGTGACGGTATTTTTTATGACTACATAGCGACAAAAATTATCGTCACTAAAACTGATTATTGTTATAGATGGGAGACTTTCACTTTTAGTCCCATAAAGATCATTTTTTATCAATTTTTAGTCTAGTAATTACTTTCGAAATTGTCCAATTTTAGGACAAAAATTGGCAGGAAATTACAATTTTCACCGGATACTAACACGTGCCGCCTGCGTGAGATTAAAATTTTGGGGGGTGGGGATGGTTTGATGGCATGTTTTAGCCTACGTGGACTAAAAAAATAAAAAATTACCTCCCCAAAAAAAATCGATGTGGAATTTGGTGATATGTGGGCCTTAATTTAGCTAAAGCGCTTCTGGACTTCAGAAATTACACTGTTGGGCCTCTTCTAGTTAACTGATCCATAACTAATAGGAAATTTACAAAAAGCCCCAAATAAATCACAACAAAAATTCACCACATAAATACCTGTAAGAAATTAGGAAAATAGAAGAATATAAAAGAGAATGAGATTTTTGGAGCTGTTGGATTTCGATCAACGAGATAAGGAAAGAAAAAGAAGAAGAAGAAGAAGAGAAAAAAATATGAAACCGAAAAATAAGAAAGTGAAGGAAGAGCAATAGAGCTTCCAGGCGTGAGGTCAAGTGGTGACTAGTGGAGGATGGAACTACCTTTGAAGCTATAAATCACGTGATCGATCTTAAAGAGGAGTGTGAGTGAAACATTGCACTTTTCCTTGAAGGATTAGCCCCACCCTTTTGCGTGGGGATCCCCTAGGCGTGATAGGCCCTTTACCGTGAGTTGGTGGGCTGCAGTGGGTGGTGAAGCCGTAAAGTGAATGTGTGGATATCTCCACTTTGACAAA